ACAGGCTATGTAGGCTAAATACATAATTGTCTTTAATAAACAACCCCTTTAACATTTTGATGCTTGTTAGTTTATTTAACAAATGTCACTGCATGGCACATTTACCATAGCATCACATTCTTTAAAGAAATACATTTCTAATAAGATAAAAACAGAGAGGGAGGCAAACCATAAGAGACTCTTAAATACAGAGATCAAACTGAGGGTTATTGGAGGGATGTTGGGTAGGGGGATGGGCTAAATGGGTGATGGGCATAAAGGAGGGCACTTGTTGGGATGAGCCCTGGGTATTGTATGTAAATTATGAGTCACAAAATTCTACTCCCGAGACCATGTTATTACACTATATGTCAACTAACTTGGATTTAAATTTTTAAAAAAGAAAAAGAAAAACCCATTTCTGAGGTAATGTTTCAGAGACTTTATTTCAGTAAAGTTTTTACTGAAATTTCAGTTAGTTAACATACAGTGTAATATTAGTTTCAGGTGTAGAATTTAGTGATTCATCACTTACATAGAACACCCAGGGCTCATCCCAAGTGCCCTCCTATAAGATCTTAATTACTATAGATTTATACTAGATCTTGATATCAGGTGGGATAAGGTTCCTACACTTTGTTCTTTATAATTCTACAACTCTTGGCCCTTTGCTTTTCCATCTGAATTATAGGATCTTGTCAAATTTCATGAAAAACTTGATTTTTCATGGAATTTTACTGAATATGCACACTGGAGAAGAATTGACATGGTGAAAATATTAAGCCCATTCATAAGAATAGTGCATTTTTGTTCCCAACTATGATTTATAATACTCCCTATGAATACATTGCACATTTACTATTAGATTTATTCCTACGTGATTTATGAATTTGGTGCTATTGTGAATGAATTATATTATTCCTATTATATTTCTTTTGGGAAATTATTGATATATTGTAAGAGTTTATTTCTACATGCCAGTTTTTCAACCACTTTTTTGAACTCTCTCACTAGTTCTACTAGTTGTTAGTTTGATATTTTGGTAACTATGCCAATAATATATAAGAACACTATTGATTTTTACATGTCCTTTTATGAATTTAGCAATAACTCTTATTAGTACAACCAGTTTGTATTATTTTTAATTATTTTCTGTGTTTTAAAAAAATTTTTAATGTTTATTTTTGAGAGAGAGAGACAGACAGACAGAAAGAGTGTGAGTGGGGGAGAGAGAGGGAGACACAGAATTCAAAGCACGTTCCAAGCTGTTAGCACAGAGCCCAACGCGGGGCTCAAACTCATGTACTTTGAGATCATGACCTGACCCGAAGTTGGCGTGTAACTGACTGAGCCACCCAGGCACCCCAATTTTCCTTGTTTTTTTTGAGGTGAATGTATACCTCATTTATTTTTAATCCTTTTTCTTAAAAAAAAGTTCATATAATACTATGAAATAAACCTAGCATTTTAAACTGCATTGAACTGGTTTTGAGATAATTATCTATATCTCAAAACATGTATATGTAAAATTTTCCATTCACTTCTAAATATTTCCTGTTCCCAATATTCCCACTGTCATTTAACATAAGAATGTGTCATTTAACAGGATAATTCATTTGTGATCTTTGATTATTGGTGTCAAATTACATTAGACTATGTCATAGAATATGATTTATTGCCAATTACTTGAACTATGATAACACTTCCTTTGTGATTTACTACATTATCAATTTAATTATTATTCCATGTACACATGTATTTTTTGGGTATATAATTCTGTACATATTTATTAAGTTGAGTTTCCTAAGTTTGCTGTTCAAAACCATATTCTTACTAATATTTAGTCTGCTTCAACCAGCATTACTTGAAATCTACTAATATTACGGAAGTATCCATTTCTTCTTGCAATTGTACCTATTTAGCTTTAAGTATTTCAATACTTTAGTTCTTAGTTACAAATAAGTTCATTATTGCTAGCATTTCCTAAGTGAATTTTCTCCTTTATTGTTATACATGATATATCTTGCCTTAAATTAATATTTTGCCTTAAATTCTATTCCATTTTATATTAATATTGTTGTAGTAGTTTTCCTATGGTTAGCATTCACAAAATACAGCTTTCCCCATCATTTTATCATACCTCTTGCTAGCAACTTATAGCTATATTTAAAAAGAATCCATTCTGTAATCTGTCTTTTAATAGGTGAGTTTGAGCCATTCACAGTATTTTAATTAACTAATATTTTGAATTAACTTATTACCATGCTATTTTAAGTTTGTATTTTATATTTTCTATCTCTTTGTTCTCTATATTTCATTGGGGAGGGACAGAGAAAGAGAGGGAGACACAGAATTCCAAGCAGGCTCCAGGCTCTGAGCTATCAGCACACAGCCTGACACAGAGTTTGAGATCATGACCTGAGCTGAAGTCAGATGCTTACCAACTGAGCCACCCCGGTGCCCCTCTATACTGCATTCTTAATGAATTCCTTAAGTTATTCCTCCAGTTCACTGTTTTTCCCTTCTACTCTAATGTAGAAATTATTTTTCAAATTTTAATAACCATGGTTTTTATTTAAATGTATAGAATTTCTTCCCTCTCATGCCCAGAATTTTTTAAATGTATTTTTAAATAATTCCTCACCATTTAAAAAAAACAGAAATATTCTTCCATTTATCAATTTGAGAATCATAAACATAAATATTCAAGGTCTTTATTGGAAAATTTCATAAAATAAATTTAGCTTGGAATGAATATGCCAATTCTTGATTTGGTTAGCTGTATTTGGTATTTGATTTCTTTATGTGCTTTAGAATTTTTGTTTATAAGCTCACGGTCACTTTCTTTTTCTGAGTTTATTTCTCCCTGTCTTGATCTTAATTTGTAGTTGTTTTCACCTGGCTTCTTGATCCTCACATGCAGCTGATCTTATCATCAGATTTGGAGGCTTCTGTGCTGTGGGAGTAACATAAACATTGCAGATTCTGTCAACTGCAAAGTCAGTTGGTTGTTTTGTGCTGTTCTTAGCAGGAAGGCTATGTCTTTATTCTTCTTAGACCTGGAGCTTGTTCAACCTGCATTCTAGGTTTTAGTCTGTTTTCTCAAGAGAAAGGGAGCTCCACTCCAATTGTTGGGTTCAAATTGTGAACATGCTTTGAGTCACATTATCAAATGTTGTTTGTATTTATCTGAGTATTGTATGTGTCATGTCCTAGGAAATGGCAGGAGTGGGGCTTGGTGGGAGAAAAATTCAGTCCTGCGTATTAGCCAAAAAGAGTATTAAAGGGAGAGGAAAAATATGTGTACTGGCTGTCTCTGTTTTAATGATGTGTATTTAGGATTATCTCATAGCATAGTTTAGCCCTAAGAATGGCTTTGTTTAGAAGGCTTGATTTGTCAATAGCAACAGACCTTGGTTGAGTATGTTGTCTTTTATTCTCTTCGATAAGTGCTAAGAAATTAATCAAAAAGAATTTATAATTTTATGTTTGTACTGGAATTAAAATTTAAAAAACTTAATGAAATTTCAAAATTAAAGAATTTAGAATTAGATCAGAGATACTGTGTGAAATTGAATTTTCAAAAATATTTATGATCTATCTGTAAATCATACTACCACATATCCTTTTATGGAATTCAAAATATGTTTGAAAATTATTATGTTAAAGAGAAGGAAGTGATTTGTTATTACAGGTTCCGAGACATTTGCTAAAATGTTTGTTTCATTGTAATCCAAGAATTCCCTAGGGCTTGAAAGGTCTATGTTCAAATGACTAATGGAATCAAACCTCCTTTGTTATGGAATGCTGGTACGTGCATTTGAAGTAGTTGATATTATTTTTCTCAAAGTCTCCACGCTTGTAGCAGAGACACTGAGAGCGGTCTGTAGAAGAGATCATAATCTCTTTGAGAGGCCTGAGAGAGACAACCTGGATTTCTAAGTTTTTTTTCTTTTCCACCTGCATTTTAATGATAGCCTTTTCTACCTTAAGATGATCTCAGATACTTAAATATACTTAAATACTTAGTATGGGAGAGATACAACATCTCAAAAGATTTTAGGACTGGTTAGTGTTTGCTATGATCTCACTGAAGTATGATGCTACCAAAATATATAATAGTCCTATTGTATTCTCATTAAATAACTAGACAAAGAAATAAAAACTTATTTTAGTGCTAAAAACCACATTAGCCAATGACTAATTTAGACTACTTGTCATGTTTCAATTTCAAAAGGCATGACCAAAACACAGCAATAACAAAGTACATTGCAACCACTCCTCTGGTTATTTGTGTCGCACTCCTGAACCACATCATGGTGTATAGCTGACCTAATAAGCTATCAAGTCCTGACAAATGTAAAATCCCTCTCATCTTATTCGGGGAAAATGCCTACTATATATTTACTTTTCATTATAGGAAAATACATCTTTATGTATTACCTCATCAAAAACATGCTTTAATATAACCTAGAAAATTGAGTATGGTTCCTCAGATACCAAAACAATTCTTGTATGGGAAAATATTGAATTAAATTGGGATTTTACTAGCATATTGAGTAAACACTTCATCTTTCATATGTTAACGCTACCTGGAGACCTTGAGAGGTTGTGCCTTCCAATTTATAAATTAGAATTCTGCTGTAGTTGTGACTAAGTATAGAGTTTTTGTTTTAAATATTCCTACTCAGGACTTTGAAAGTATTCTGCCTACCACAAGAACAGTTTTTACATGTTTAGGTGAGTCAAAACACAAAAGGTTAGACAGTCATTTCTCTGTTATCATGAGAAAAAGTTGGTAACTCCATAGCTATTTCTTACATTATTGCTAACCATAGCTGATTGTAATTATTTCCTGAAACTAACAGGTGTTATAGTTAGATGTAGTAGAAGATTAGAAGAGTACCATACTGTGAAAGAATAATCTTGATGACATTGGGAAGGACTTCACAGAGGAGTTGGCTCATGGGCAGGTCCTTAAAGCTAGAATAGAATTTTGATAGGAGGTGAGAAAGTAAGAAGTGTTACCCAAGAGGGTTGAACTAATTTAACTCAATAAATACTTAGAAAAAACTATAATAAATAGAGTTAACTACTAATCAGCACTGCTATGTGCTAGGCACTACCCTAAATATTTAACGCAAATGATCTAACTCAATCTATTTTAAAACCCGAGGTGGACCCTATTAATATTTTCATTGTATAGATGAGGCTCTGAGGCACAGAGAGATCACTCAGTTAGTAAGTGGTAGAATCAGGATTCAATCCAGAGCAGCTGACTCCAGAACCTACACGGCTAAACACAAGGATACTGGAGTTGACTGCCTGGCTTCAAATTCTGACTCCATCTAGAGCACTTAGGTTACTGCCTGCCACCGGGTAAGTGCCTAATATAAGTTATATATTTTAATTATGTTTATTGTTATTACTAATAAACTGCTATGTCATTGCTACTTCTCTGTGGCTATGTGTAAGTTATTCAATGTACTGCAGATGATACAAATATGAGAAATTGGAGGTCTCAGTCCTCAATGAACTTGCAATTTTTGTAGGAGCAATAGATATATACCCCAGAGGTATAATAGGCTTAGTATGGGAGAGATTAATTCCAACTGGAAAAGATTAAGGAAGGCCCCAGAGGTGGTTTTTTGAGCAGAACATAGGATGGATAAGCTTGCAGTTGAAGAGATAAGAGGGAAGGCATTACAGGGTGAAAAGACAGTATGCACAAAGGCAGAACGTTTTAAAAACGTTCAGAATGTTTTTGGAGAATAGCTTGGTTTGTGTTTAGTTTGCATAGAGGGAGGGAAGGCAGTGAGGGGGAAAAAAAAAAGGCAGGAAAGCAGCCTGAAGTTTAGATTTCATGGAGACTTGAAGAGGTCTTTAAACAAGTCAGTGATAGATCAAAGGCATTTCTGGAAGATTATTTTGGGAGCAAGGCATAAAGAGGAGGGCAGGAGGGCAGAGGTATTACTATAGGCATGAAAACCAATTCAGGCTTGTTGCCATAGTTCATTTTGCCTTCATAATTCTACCAGCACACTCTATCACTGATTTCTGTGTGTGTCGCCGGGCAAGTCCCTTACAATTGTGATCCTCTGTTTCCTCATCTATAAAGTAAATATATGATCACCAGCTTCTAGAAGTCATGGACTCTCTGTGCTTGACTTTGTGCTTAAAACTATCACAAATAATTTTGGTTCATGACGGTGGTTGGCAGATATGAATATCTTTCCTTAGCAAATTCTTATTTTTAATATTTCCATTCATTTGGCACATAGATACTATATTTTGATCATTACTTTTACCTTACTTGCATTTCTTCTCAACTAGTGGTAAATTGAAAGACCACATTTTATACTTTTATATCTAAACAAAAATTGGTATATCACATAGGCTCAAAAAATATTTACTTATTTAATTCATTAATGGCAGTATGAAGTTCTATACTTTGATTATGGTACTCTTCCAGTGAGTTGAAAAATTTGCCAGATTCAGCTTTTAGACAAATTTGATATATAAAATTAAAATGATGATTTGTTTTCCTAATCCCTGCTATGTAAACTAGAAAATTCATATTAATTTTTATTGTGGTGTTTTTATATCTTATCTCCAAAACCAGAATATATACCACAAGAGTGGAAGAGGATTTTTTTTCCTAAAAATAAATATACAAATCCATACAGTATGGGACAGTTACACAAAGATTATTTTTAAGATTGTGAAAAATATAAAGTTAAATGGCTTCTACTTGGCAGCTTTTGTTGTGACTTTCACATATATTTTCAATTGCTCCTTGGACTACAGTAAAATATATCTCCCTTGATATTTGAAGCCTAAATGTCCCCTAGATACCTTAAGATGCTACAGCAAACAAAGTCCTGTTGGTCTGAGAAGCCACTAGAAGTAATCCTCAAAACTAATTATGGCTCTCCTGCTGAGAGTTTCTTTTAAAGAGCCACTTTCCAATTTCTATCAAACATTTGCAGTTCTAGTACAAATACATTTTTTTTCCAGAATTCACTTGCATTTCAACTTCAAGATAGTGTTTGCCTTTCATTGTGAAATAGAGAAAGGTTATGAAGAAATTTCTAAGGAATTAAAAAATTAACTCTTAAAATCCCATTTTAATTTTGCAAAAACCTGATGGATCCAGTTCTAACAATCAAGGAGTCACACAACTATCTTATGGGTTTGAGATGGTCTCATTGCCAATTTCAGCTTTGAGTTAAAAAAAAAAATCAGTTTCTTAAAAATAAGCTCTCTGAATTGATTTTATTGCTACTCCAAACTTTAGTGGAAAATTACCAAACTTCCTTTATTTCTTTGGCCCCATTAATTAGTTTATTCCCCACAAAAAAAAAAAAAAAAAAAAAAAAAAAACACACCAGCAATGAATTCCCTGTACTGTTCTCTGACCAACACAGAGGAGGTAAGATTGCCTGTGGATGATCACTCTCCCCAGTCAGCAGTTGCATGGAGACTTTCTACATTGACGGTGTCTCCCTGGCTGACATAATTTTTGTTTTAGAAAAGGAAATGGATTGGATATAGTCCAATTTGTCTCTAAACTCCGTATCTTAACATTTATTCAAAGAAAAGAAACAGATCAACAATAAGTCTAATTGGGTCATTTTCACCAATTAAAAATTATTATTTGAAGATTATTTATTTGATACTTAGGTAAATACCATATATGAAAGAAATAGTTATATGAATACAAAAATTGAATTTGTATTAGATTATCAGATGCTAAGGTTTATTGGCACTCTTTTAACTAAATAATTGATGGGGCGCCTGGGTGGCGCAGTCGGTTAAGCGTCCGACTTCAGCCAGGTCACGATCTCGCTGTCCGGGAGTTCGAGCCCCGCATCAGGCTCTGGGCTGATGGCTCAGAGCCTGGAGCCTGTTTCCGATTCTGTGTCTCCCTCTCTCTCTGCCCCTCCCCCGTTCATGCTCTGTCTCTCTCTGTCCCAAAAATAAATAAACGTTGAAAAAAAAAATTTAACTAAATAATTGATGCAAAGCATCTCTTATAGTCTCTATTATATTAACAACCTGAATGAAAAGAAGGCTACTATTTAGAATTTACTAACATACCTAATAAAATGTATAAAGCTACTTTCATTAACTAAGTTTATATAATGCATTTTTCTTATGACAATCATACCTCTTATGATATTCAAGGATATATCTATTTAGTAAATTTTAAATGAATGATTCACTTTTTTTCTTGGTTCATTGTCATTTGACTGAACCCCATAATTATATCCAATAAGAAGTAAGTTAAAAATGAAGTTTCTGTCAACTATTTTCCACTAGCAAACATAGTGACTCACCTTCCAAATAAAAGCATATCAACATGAAAGTTTCCCAAGGGTATATTCTAGGTCATAATCTTTATGTTAATGAATTCCTTACTGAATAGTAAATCGTAAGAATATATTACCTTATTCCTATAATACATTACCTGTCAGCAGGTAATTACCCTTCAAAACCTCAACAGAGAGGAAGATTGCCCTGTGACACCAGTGACCCCTACAGGTAAAGTTAAAGAAAAGAAGTACAGTGTAAGTGGATGAAAGATACCCACTGCATATTAGAATATGGCTAGCTAATGCCAAAGTATAACATGTATCAGTAACTCCAATGAGACTTGTTATTATTGCCTCATTGACATTGGAAATTTTGTTACAGATAGAAAAAATCAAGCATATATTTTGGTATTTTTGGCTAATTTTGAACACATTTACCTTATGCATATTACCTAGAGTTTCTAGAAGACTGTGTCCAGATACGGCCTTTAAAAGGTGTTTGAAGTTATTTGATTAAGGAGCTAGAAGAGATCACAAATGGCCATCTGTTTTACAGTCTGCCTGATAATTAGCTTCAGTAACCAGCTAACTGGGTGCTTAAGATGTACGAAGTATTGCACATGCAGTCTCAGGAGCTCCCACTGAGATAAGTAACATTATAGAAAGAGGGAGCTGAGTGGCAATAAGTGGCAAAGTTGAGGAGCATGCCCCCAACCCCCTAATTCTGGGCATTATACTACAGGGTGAAGGTAATGTTTAGGAAAGGTCACAAAACAGATACGAATAGTTCAGATCTCAATTTAATGGCATGTATTTAATGACTACTCGTTTGTTTAATATGTATGGAGTGCCTATTTGACATATCATTATGGGCTGGGTCCTGAAGAGATATGAAAAAGAGCCAACAATTATCATGGGGAATTTTTTAAAAGAATAATGTATCACATTAATGGTTTAAACAAATGCAGTTTTAATACTCTGATGGTAATAAAGAGAGTAGCCACCAATTCAACCATTTCATATATATAATTGAGTCATTATTTGTAGTACTTATATAAACATTAAAATTCCCCAGCAACCTATGAGAGGTATGAATAATTTTTATAGCTAAACATTTTTCATAATGTCTTATATTGTTTTTTGGGAGGGATAGTTATATATTTTTAAATTTGTGCTTTGGAAGTCAGTATTGAGTTTGTCTTTGTCTTTTATATTCCCAATTAACCCATGTCAAGTGTGAGGCACACACAGGACAATGATGATTTTTGTTACCCTTTGAATATAGTGATGGAAGTATAATATGGTCGAATATTGTCTTTAGAAGAGCTTCCAATTAGCTATAAAACTCCTAAAATCAATGTTGTCACTCAAATACATAACAAAAAGCAAACATAAAAGCAAAACATCCCATACCTTGGTATTTCTTTGGTTTCCTCCATATAATAGTAAGTAGACTGCCAAAACCAAACTTATTAAAAATGTACCAAGATTTCATGGGGAAACCAAGTATTAAATGCCAATTCATTTTTTTCCATAAATATTTAATGAACACCTAATACGTGCCAGGCAATGAGGTAGAAACTGAGTGTACTGTGGTTAACAAAACAGACATATTCTCTGCATTCACAGAGCTTAACTGTCTAGAGGGGGACCTAGCAATAACAGGTAAACAAACAATGAAGGGTGTTTAGTGCTCATAAGAAAATAAACAGAGCAGAAGGTGACATGAAGGAGAATGACATGGGGCAATCTAATGGATAGAGTTAAGCAAGGCAAGCATCCATGAAGAAATGTTCCAAATATGAGCTGAGGCGTGAATAAGTAGGAGGAACAGCCATGGAAAAGCAGAGGAACAGTGTGAGTGGAGGGTCCGGGGAAGGAAAGAACCAGCTCTTGATGAGAAATTAACCCCAAGCGAGTTAGGGTGGAGAGTAACAAGCAGCAGCACAAAGGAAACGAGTTCAGACCAGGATGCATCTCATGAACCACGAGGAGGAGCTTGGGTCTCATTTAATGCGTAATGCGTTTCAGGTAGGGACTAACAGAATCTTCTCTTGCTGCCGT